AGGAAGGCCTTGCTGGAGCAGAGGCACAGAAGGACACAGAGAACTGGCAAAACTTCTACTTCCTGAGTAAGAAAAGGAAGAATCTCATCAAGAACCCATGTGGTGAAGGTGAGATACAAGTATAACAAGCCTCAAGATTTCATAGAGAGGGTCAGTCACTGCAAATTGGGCATCTCAGTCTTTGCAAAAGATCTCACTTGCTATCAGGTTGCAGCATTTTCTTGCCCAAGAGTCAAATCACAAAATGCACACAGTCAAGTCATTCTTGGGCATGAAGGCGTTTGATAATAAGCCTTTGCAAAGGGCTCTACTTGGCATCAGCTTTATATAAACCCCTGAAGGGATCCAGATCATGCTTAAGAGGCAAAAATGTCCTTTGCAGAACCACAGTGCAGGGATGACAATGGCATCTGCAAGTCTAGATTGCTTCTTGCCAAACTATGATGGGAAAGATCAAGCCTTTCTCCACTCAGGATCTACTCCTTTCTGAGCTCACTGGGCACTTCAGGCTTCATTCCATGAAGCAGCTCAGGCAAGTTTCATTTGTACCCTCCTTACAGCCCATGTTAGAGCTGTGCACATACCCCAGTTGCCATTGTTTTGATTATCCATGAACTTCACCTGCCAGATCCACAGGACAAGCAGCAGTAACCAAGCCTCAACAACCCAAGCAGCAACAAATACATTTCACACACCATAGACCAAAGCATTGCCAATACTCTTTCTCCATTTTGTTTACAGGTTATTTTTCTGCAACTTTTCCCAACGGCCAGTTTCCCTCTGACTAAGATCAGGAACGCTAAGGCCATTCTAGAAATGCCACTTAGGAATTTAGGAAAATGTAGAAATAAAGCAGCCAGCATCTCTCCCCAGGCTGTTCCTACATTATGTTCCTTAAAGTACTGACACACAGTTCAGAACACCTACATAATTTCACTTGAGTACTTTCTTAAATAAACCCACATGTACATAGTCTTTTTGGTGGAGAATGTTAAAGTTTGTTAATATTAAGTTCATCCAGACTAAAGGCTTTTTGCTTGATCCCTACTTGCAGACACCTCCACAGCCTACATGCAAAATCAGTACTGCCTATAACAGCACACCTCTCACAAGCCAGAGAAAGCTTCCAGTGGGAGATGGTCAGGTTACACAGGCTCACAGAAACTAAGACTCATCCAAGTCTCTTCTCTGCTATTTGCAGAAGACTTGCAGCACTGGGGAGAGGTAGAGAATGGAGGTGATGGCTGGAAAATTGAAGAGCTTCCTGGGGACTTTGGAAAAGAATTCCCTAGTGAAGAAGTCCATAAATACTTTGTTACATCTTATGAGTAAGGCTGCTTTCTTCTCTTATTGAGGGAAGGGGACATTTTTGGCTACCCCAGTTCCAGGAGGGACTGTGATACCAATTTACATCTTCTGTTTCAGGTGGTGCCGAAAGGCTCAGGTCATTGACCTAAGGGCTGAGGGCTACTGGGAGGAGCTGATGGATACAACCCAGCCTAAAGTTGTGGTAAAAGACTGGTAAGTAGCAGGGATGCCTCAGAAGGCAGGCAGAGAGGCAAGAAAGAGAAGAGAGGGCAAGCATTTCATATACCACACTGGGCCTTAAAACCCAAGCTGCCAGGACCCCCCAGGTGTGGGACATGGTTGGGTCTTGGATCACAGCACCACAAGCAGCTCCCACAAGGTTTGAATTGTTGGTACTTGTGACCTCTAAAGACCAGGTGCCTGTTGGGAATGAGGGGAGGTGGTGGGTTGTGGTAGGAATCATTACAGATTTCCACCTCAGTCCACACATCTGTCAGCAGGAGGCAGCTTGTGCTCTGGCTGTTTGCAGGGTTCCCACAGGTAAGGCTGCAGCTGGGCTCTCCTGCAGGTACGCAGGGCGAAGTGACGCTGGCTGCCTCTATGAACTCTGTGTGAAGCTGCTGTCAGAGAATGAGGATGTTCTGGCTGAGTACAAAAGTGAGACTATTTCCATCCCACAGGACAATGATGCCAGCTGGACTGAGGTGAGTTACAGCTGTGGGCTCTGCAGGTGACACCCAACCTGCATGAATCAGGAATATTTTCAAGCAGAGAGAAGCAGGAGAGTTCTCCTGGAGAAGGCTCTGTTATGTGTTCTGTGGAGCCATGACCCTCTCATGGACCAAAGGGATTGTACTGGGAGGCCACCTTACATAAGAACCTTGCTAAGCCACCAGTGCAGGTGTATGATGAAAGAGATGTTCAGCTGGGCTAGGTTCAGTGGCCTCTGAACAATGATAGGATCAAAGCTCCTCCCAGTAACTCCCACTGGTAGGTGTGACTTGGGCAGGTGTACTGAAGGCTCTGTGCACTAAAGAAGGGTGGGTTCATGGTGGTTTGATACTTACCAACTACCACTGTGTCTCTTGTCCCAAAGATCTCCCACACCTTTGCCAACTACGGGCCTGGGGTCCGCTTTGTCCGCTTTGAGCACGGTGGCCAAGACACTCTGTTCTGGAAGGGCTGGTATGGTGTCCGTGTTACCAACAGCAGCGTGACAGTGGAGCCATAGCTCTGCTGGCCTGGGGCCTGCATGCTGGAGTTGACTTCCCTCAGGGCACCCCATGGCCTTTGGATGTTTTTTGCATGGTGCTGCTTCTGGGCTGTAGAGCATACAACCTTTCTGCCAGTGAATGTGCCTGCGAGATGCCTGGGGCCACCACCCATCTTGCCTCAAGAGGACTATGCAAAGGATGGGACTAGATCTGTGAATGCACCACATGAGACTCAGCCTCGCCGCTTGCACTGTGATCTGACAGACATGAGATCACCTGGAAATCCTGCAGACCTTACTTCTGAGCCACTAACCCCTAGCACTCTTCCTGCCTGCTTCCCAGGCTCAGGCACCCCTTAACTTTTACGGGTATTTTGGGCATATTTTCTGGAAGTTAAGAGTGGAAAAAAAGGAGGAAAGAG